CTTAAATGGTGTGTAGTTCCCTGATTCCCTTTTCCTGTTTCATAATGCTAAAACTTACGTCTAGTACATCTGCCACGCGTATATTATACAATCCATAGTCTATCCACACTCCACACTTATATCTTTGCTACATACCATTCCTTGTCAAATGAGGTCAGTCGGGTACAATGTGTGAAGCCCATTTTCCGGTGTCCCTGCGATGATATTGATGACATATTGCTAAAAGCGGCGTAAAACCACACGCACTCATTCACTCTTTGTTAAATGTTTTAAGGGGGAAGCTCATATGCAGTAGATCTTTGAGGACATATAGATAGCTAGGCGATAAATCGCAAAGCACAATAAAGAACGTGTTTTATTTCACGATAAAACATTGTTCTACCATTACGTCATTTCTGAAGATTCGAACATGCACTCGCATCTTGGACCTTATTTTTGGGAAGGAAGTGTCTGGTGAGTTCTTCCCCACAGATGTAGGTTGGGTTCTCAGGTAAACACAAAGGCCGAGTAATCGCATTCCAAATTTGTTTAGATATGGAATATGTACTGGGACAAAATGTACAGAAAATCGACTTGAAAATTGTGAGAATAACTGGGAAATACCAAACTTTACCCCACTGTTAATAAAATGGACTTATCCGACATTGCCAGCGAATGTATATCGTTTTGTCGAGGTACATAAAATATTGTTAACTCGACGGTGTCCAGGACTCGAGTTACATAGGTTTCACTGTATAAGGGGCGGTCGGGTAGCCGAAGACCCGGGTTCGATTCCCGACATGGGTACACTGTGTGAAGCCCATTTCTGGTGTCCCCCGCCGTGATAATGCTGGCATATTGCTAAAAGCGGCGTAAAACCATACTCACTCACTCACTCACTTCACTGTATAAGGAGGTACTGTTAAAATGGACTACTTATAACGGCATCCTAAGTTCATTATATCCCTACTGTTCTGTTTTTGCAAGTATACAATATATAACATATTGTAATAGCTATATAAACAGCTTAAACAATATGTTATAGCAATTTATAATGCTTGTATAATATATAATGAAACATACGTATCACGCATTAGAAAAAAATCATTTATAAAACGATCCACAGAATCAGATATTCCCTTTTGACATTATATGGAACCTCTCGGTTCAGCGGTAGTGAAACCCCTTAACGTAACACTGAAGTGTTGCTACGACAATAACAAATGCTGACTTCCGTCAAAAAGTAGGCTAATAGCTTGAATAGTCTGCAGTGCTCTAAAATGACTCCACAGATCAATCTGTTTACATGTGACAAACTTGCTTGTGTTGCACAATACGAGCTACACTAAAGGTATAGTTTCTCTCGTACCTTATCTGATTGACCCTTCCCACGGATTTATTATCTGTCTACAGTTTTATGTACTAGATTTATGATGTGTTATGTTTTGCATGCAATACGTTGAGATTGCATTTACCGTTAAGCAGACAGGGACGTCGATATCTGAGATATATCACGGGACTCACCGATTACGTTTTATGGCACTGGGCACTGTGCAAACATTGGAATTGGAACACTCATTAACAACATAGAGCATGAGTTGATAAGGACACGCATAAATGGAAGTCCAATGCACTAGGCACGCAATCAACCTTATTGCTTTGCGTTGCTATTACTTTGGCTGATCACATGCCCATAACTGATAAATTTCTACCAAATGATTTTTCGGAATCAAATATGCCGCCAAAGTTATAATTTGATACGACATTTTTCCTTATGTGTTCTCAGATTCAAGACACTTTTTACGTTTTCATATGTGCGAGGTGGTTCTCTCGCAGGAATCATAATATTTATGTCATATATGTAGATTTGGGTTCGATGTGTGTTGCGTCACTCAATCTCCATCACTCCCATGTATCAAATTGATTTCCCAAAATACTCGCAGACCCATGTCCCGATATTCACAAGCTGTTACTTGCACTCACGACATCCCCTTCACCTGAAACTCTACACCAGTAACTGCCCTCTCTATTGATCATCATGCGCACCACCCTCTCCTCTGGTGGTGCCCTGAAGCTGCGATTCTAACCTTATCTGAAGGCCAGGTCTTTCAGCTCTTTCTCTCCCCCATTTAAATGCCGTTGTTTTAATGGTGTGTGTGTTTCGCTTGGGGATAATGTGGTTTCACACTTCATAGTCGTTATCAGATGAATCGGGGCCTTAAATCCTTGGTTTAATTCAGTTTCCATATCGCCATTGTGGACACGGAAGCTAGAAAATGCACACTGCCAATAGTGATTTGAGTGTTCCACCAGTGTCAGTCAACAGGCATCAACTAATGCAATGAATATTCTTCAATGCATATCAAAAAGCGAAATATAATGCGTTGCTTCTCCACACAGTCGAAATGAAATATGAACGTTTTGTAGTAAAGACATTAACGATTTACACGTCACCTGAATCGCAGACAACAAGGAGTAGTTCAAATAGAGCATCCGCCCGGAGAGCGGAAGGTCCAGGGTTCGATCCCGGGCCGCGTCATACAAAAAGACGTTAAAAGATTGTACTTGTTGTTACCCTGTCCGGCGCTCGGCATTAAGGGGCTAAAACAAGGACTGGTCGGCTCGGAGTCAGTATACTGTGTCTGAGTGGGGTATTCATGTTAAACTGCGGCATGGTATCTCAGTGAGCTAGCACTATAAATCGGCATCAGTCCGGACTAGTACAAGCAGCCACACACACACACATACACGTGCATGCACGTCGCTATATAAGTGCAATAATCTTGGACGCGACGTTAAACCCAATTTCACCTCACCTCACCTCAAATAGAGCAGCACACTAAGGTTTCTGGTTTCTGGGACAAGATGTCGATTGCGAGGAGTTTGCAGAATATGGGTTAATTCGCTTCATTTAGAGCCAACCCAATTTATCCAAAGTCTCCGCCTCTCAGAATCGAGTTCGATTTGCAAATCGCTCAAACTTTTAATGCTCTCGAATTGACGGGTCTATTTGATCGATAACTGACAAATACTGTACCAGGTTAAACCATGCAGTATTTGCGTCAGGAAATGACTTGTCTGAAACAACACATTTGGGCCTAATTTAAAGGGTCAGTTAGGCACTTCTTGAAAGTTGAGTACGACGAACCTAGGATGTGTTCTATAGTAACTGGTAATCTCCCTGTAATGACATCGCTCTCGGGGGTCAAATTAAGCTAATCAACTCACTGAGCGTAAAGTCCAATCACTCATGGACGTAGGCAAGTGTTTTACTGTTGGATTCACCATTCGCGTTCTTCCTGGCATTCACTGTTTGTGTGTCGAAATGTCAATTTTCCTGTTATCTTCTCGTGATTTCATTATGCGATGAGGCAGATACTGATGCTCGTGTTATGTTGTGGTGATTATACGGTTATTCTACCCATACAGGTAAATGGTTTATCGTACTGGACACCGGCAGTGTGAGTTGCTTGACTATAATATAACATAAAACAGCAGGGCTCTAGGTCTCATGTTATGTCTATGACCCTGTGATATTTGTTCAGTAGTTCTCACCTATTTGGTTATATACAACACGTGAGACTTTCTCCTGCAAACTGTAGGATGTCTGTGTGTACCTATGCCACGTGGATATCACAGTTTCAACTTTGAAGGACTAAGAGCTGTGTGTGTGTGTGTGTGTGTGTGTGTGTGTGTGTGTGTGTGTGTGTCTGCTTATATACTAGTCCGGACTGATGCCCATTTATAGTGCTGGCCCACCATGTCCCAGTTTAACATGAACCTCACTCAGACACTGCATACAATAAACAGTTTTTGAAAGCCTTTGTACAACGACAACATGTCGAGCTCCAAAATTTCATATTTGTATCTGTGATATTAAATTAAATATATCGACTTTATTAGGTTATAAAGTTACTAAAAATCTACCTGTGCGTTTCCTTTTTTGAAGAGTGTATAAATACCACTATCGCCGGCAGCGAGCATCGAGTATTTTCATGTCTATAACATGTACTGGTAATCCAGGATAAGTTGAACCAACTCACAAAACGCGTTTGAGATAGTAGGCGATGCACAGAATTTGTGCAAACATATTTGGTTTGTTCCAGGTAGAGGGGGTGTATGCATGTTGTCCACGTGTAGGTCATGACGATGAATTTAACTACGCTCCCCCAGACGCACGTGTTGCTCATAAGACTATTAGGAGGTCGGTGTGACAAGTCGATACCAGAATTCTTAGCCAAGACACGCATATGTCCATCGTTCTACTTGTCGCGGACGTATCGCTAGCCCTATCTTTACAATGGTACGCGACAGTGTGGGGTGGGGGGGGGGACCTCATACATAGTCATACGAGGTTAATTGTCAGGTTACATCTCAACTTATTCAGACTTACCAAATAGATCATGATGAAATGTAAATCATTCCCCTCTCCGTACCCATGTCATGTCGCGAAACGTTCTGTGCAGTGTAACTGCTTTATATTTAAGGAACAGGTTCTGAAAGCCTGATAGATAAACGGTCGTAGCTTGCCATGGATGCTGAAATGGAATATGTTGTCGTACATAATTGAAATGCGTCCTTTAATGGAAAATGTCAGCTGCAAGATCTATTCGTCCACGGAACGTCAATTATTTAAATGGACTATTGAAACATAGATTGTTGCTCTCTCTCATAAAATATTGAAGCATTTTTACAATATTCATATGGGTTGAACAAGAAAAGACATTTGGTTTAGTATAATTGATAATCGATATAACACAATTTATCTCGCAAAATGTTTTTGTCTATAGTCTCTGGTTTCCGGTTTCCGGTTTCTCTCTCTCTCTCTCTCTCTCTCTCTCTCTCTCTCTCTCTCTCTCTCTCTCTCTCTCTCTCTCTCTCTCTTTCTCTCTCTCTCTCCCTCTTTCTCTCTCAAGTCTTCATGTCCTGCAGGGGAAGAAGTGTTTAATAATATGGAGAACAAAAAATCAATATAAATATCTAAATTAATGTAATACATGAGATATCCCCTGCCTTTACAGGTTGTTCAAGGCCAACGGTGACCTGAAACAGTTGTTCAGCAGTTTCCGTGATCTGACCAATGACGATGACCTTCGTGTTAATGAGAATCTAGAAAAACACGCAACGCTGGTGATGGGCATCTTTGACGAGGCCATCTCCAACGTGGACAACGTCGACTACACGTTAGATGTGCTACAGCGAGCAGGGGGAAAACACACCAGGTTCCCTGGCTTTCAGCCAGATCTATTCGTGGTACGTATACGTCATCTCTTCAATGATTGACATACATATATAACCTTTGAGGTTGGTTCTAACAGTACATAATCTGAGATGTATCAATAATAGATTGTTTGCCTCCCGCCTGATATGCCACGGAACACATATCATGCAGACGGGGGTCATGGGTGCCCTGTAATCTAAGGGGACACAATAATTGAATTATTCATTGAGCATCCCTTCGGCGTACCAGACACCTATGATCGAGGGTTCGCCTTGCTTCTGTTTTTCGATTTCTCCGCACCATATTCGTGCTCAATGGTTCCATCAAAATGGTATAATCCTAAGACCTACATCACGACTGACTTCCCTCCCACATCAAAATAACGCGCTGAGATATACTGCTCAAAGCAGCGTTAACCAAACCTACTTACTATCATGTAACCGGTAAAATTAAATATAATATTTTCGAGAGAGATGATTTTCGGAAAACATCTTTTCCAAAATTGAATTGATAAAATAGTTACCAAATGTCTGCATTCATTAAGAAGCCACTCGGGAATTGTCGTTTGATAATATTCTCACGATCATTTAAAGGAATAGTTCTCAAGCGCGAAGGTTTTTCCTTTAACGCGTGTACACATTTAGGGTTCCAAAATCGCATAAATATACCACTGTATACCTCTATCATAGCATCAGATACTGTTGATCTGTCGACAGAGTTAAGTGGGTCAGTGAGTGAGTGAGTTGGGTTTAACGCCGCTTTTAACATTTTTCCAGTCATATCGCGGCGTGTCAGCTTAATGTGGGAGGAAAGCCCGAAGTAATGCAGGTTTCAGACGTTTACCACTTCGGTGAAACCCACGAGCACGACAGAGTTAAGAGAAGCTTTACTGTGGCCGTTTGAAGTACATGTATCTGTGCCCTCATTTTCACATGCGCTGGCTTAAAACGTCAATTTCGAATTCCTATCTTGTCACAAAATAAATGGACGCTACAAAAGGCATAAGAAACACACACACACTTACGAGTCCTTTTGCTGTAATTTAAGCAATTTGAAAAGCAGTCTTATTAATCAAACTTAAAAACAAAATGTTAATGGAGATAATCTAAGAAATTCTGCTTTGTATATTTTACACTAAATTTCTCATTTGTTCTACGCGTTCTTGTGCAACGTGTTGGACTCATGTACTAACGCTCAATTAACGTGATAACTGTATGCAATATAGATTAACATTCTTGATGCATGTATATTATCTCTCATTGATATTGCTTTTAGTGGGTTTCAGTTTTTGTCGACATTATGCAAGATGATATTCATCGTTTAACCTTCATTAAAAATTCATGCTCTAAACCTTGAAACAAGGAGTAGTCTGATAGCCAGCGTCAGATTATTGGTGCAATAAAACAGTCACAGTAGCCGAAGTGTCATCAAAAAGGAATTCAAGAAGTGCTCCCAAGTATGGTGTTATGTGCCAAGTCCATTTAACAAGCTGTCGACTAAACCTTGTAAATTGATAAGTCGTTGCTCCGGGGACAGCACCGAGACGCTAAACAGATTGTGTGCTTTTATCACTGTACTCTACACGTGGCAACCATTTGACTCTTAGGGTATCAGGGACATCAGGCCTTGTTGCACTGCAGTGAAGGTCTTGTTTCAAAGAAATTTACCAGAAATGCAAGCTCTACAAAACTCGTACGGTTGTGTCGCACTGTTTTGTACCATGACACAACCAACATTATTATATAACCATTAACTAAAACTTATACATATACATTGAGATTTCTAGAGTTCGTAACACTCAGGGGCGCACGGATGACTCTGTCGGCTAAGGCGCCGCATTTCGCTATGAAGAGTTGCGTTCCTTGGGCACGCCAGAAATCTATGATTGTGGGTTCGAATCCCAGTTTGCCCTGATTATGTTTCTTGGTTTCCAAGCAACATACCGATGCACGTGGTAAACGTCTGAGGCCTGCATCACTTCAGGTTGTCCTCCCACATCAAGATGACAAGCCGTGTTATAACTGAGATATTTTTCAAAGCGGCGTTAAACCCAACTCACTTATTCACACACTCATAACCATTATTTTAAATATTAATTTTTGATTATTTTTAACTGATATATTATATACTTGGACGGTCGTGTCGCCTGTTTTGTTGTCATTGCATACAAACTCTGCAAAACCTGTAACATGAACTAATACTTAAATAAATCGGTAGAATTCTCAGACACTGTACGATTCTGACTTATCACAAGCATGTGTTTCTGAATCAGTATCAAATAGCGATGATACCAGGTGTTCGCGAAAAGGCGAGCTTATCCTGCCCTCCGGTGGCACCTGGGACACACGCATACCTAATTCAGAAGCTTGTCATACATCGGTGGTCATTTACCTCTTTGAACAAAGAGCAAACATGTCAATACACTGAGCAATCACTTGAACTCTTTCGACCTCAGGTGGCATGACCTTTGACCTATCAATAGGGCCTCGTTATATGCGAGCCGTCAGTGGTAGTAGTGGATGATAACACAATTTGCGAGACCCCAGGATTGGGAGTATTTCAGCTAATGACCTTCTTGGTAAGTGCAGAAGAGCAAATCGTTAATATCCCATGATGACCGTATACAACATACTTTACGTCTTAACCACAAGGTCAAGTGCCTAATGGACGAACAGCAGTTGTTATTTATATCAGCAGTTACTGTTTCTGAAATATATGTATGCGCTTCTGATTTACAATTAGATATAATGCGTGGCTCAATTGCAATGCCATTCGACCAAAGCCCAGTCTTCGGATGACTCAATTAAAACGTTTCTTTACGAAGCTTTCAACATTTTATTTATTCGGCATATTCATAATACGCATGACGCTTGCACAGTGATCGCAAACACATTCAAGCTATCAAAGCATGGGTTTTTTCTTTCTTAAAGCTGTAAAACTGCGATATTTATGTACTATGTATCTTTAACTTTGCCACACAAAAAAACAAAAAAACATTATTTATCCCATGTTTTCTTCAAGTAAACAATTGACTTCCTTTGCACCGTTGGGGCAGGATACGCTCTACCCTAACGCTAACACCTGGTATAATTACTATTTGATAGGGATTCGTAAACACATGCTCATGATATAGTCGGAATCGTACAATCGACTCTGCTTTATGCAGAATTTTTTATTGAATACGGAAAGGGTTTTGTCGCTTTATTTACTGTTAGTTTTGAAACTTCCGCATTTCTGACATTGCTGAAAAAGCTAATTGCCTTAGTCATGAACTGACCACCACGAACTGATTATGAACTAATCTCCAATTTCTCTTTTCCAGTGGATGGAACAACCGTTCTTGGAGGCAGTGAAACAGACTTTAGGGGACCGCTATACGGACAACATGGACGTTATTTACAAAATAACTATCAAGTTTATTTTAGACAATATGGTGAAAGGCAACAAGAATGCGTTGTCTTGATGTGTGAGACATGTGTGTGAACGCGAGTCACCTCTCTGTTATCACCATACGTCCAATGCGTGGATGCATGCTCGGATACCTGAGATTGAGTGTACTCTTCATCCATTCTACATGAACTGAGGCCCTCAACCAAAGCCCTTTCTACCACAAAGGCCGGACCATATCTCAGTGAAGGAACGTTTACCTACTGTGGCATTCACACACAGTTCATTGAAATAGAAGTATGTGTGTATTTTCTAGCAACGCTTGCCCAGTTTACAAGAAGGACGGAAGGATATCAAATGCGCCACATCTTCCCTTGACCTGTATGGCGTCTTTCCAAAAACATATTTGTTTTAAAATACAAAAGTCCTGTTGTGGGGAGATGACTATTGAGTGACTGCGTTGTTTAAACTCTGCTGTTTTGTGTGTAATTCATGTTGTTAATGTGCGCTGTAATGCCGATCACACGTGTAGGCAGTTTCCTCTGGATAGTTTCCTACTATCTCTACAGCTCTGCCTACTGGTTTCGTAACCTGGAGCTATCCCCGTCTTAGATCCAGGCACTGAAAAGTAAATACACTGGGAATGGGAATTGATCACAACAACAATCACACCCTCTGCACGCCTTTATCGTAGGAAATATTCCACATCAGTTGTCTAATGGAATCAATATCCAAGTGTATCCGGAGAACAGGGACATGTACAGAAACCTGTATTCCTGATTGGAATCTCAGAATGTTTATGTTGTTGGTATTACCGTATTGCAGAAGAGAACTGCTGACTGAAAGGGTATACAGTGTATTTATTACATGTTTGTGCTGTGGTCATCTTATATATTTGGGTAAACATTCTTAGCATTTGATTAATGTCTCAAAAGGTAATTGGAATCGTATACCGTTCTCACAGAAGAATATTGATAATGTCACAAGGGCTGCTACTGTTAGGCTTGTCTCTAATTGGAAACAGGAACAATGATTGAAGATACTGCAAAACATTAACACTTTTTATCGTGGTTGATTGAAACACCAAACACTAAATTGTGATAAAAGGGAAAGAAATCACCTTCAAACAAAACTGCATTTTAAATCCTCATAATCGTTAAACAAGAAAAAAGTCATTTTCATTTTCTTTAACAATTTTTCAAAAAAATAACTTTCCAATTTGGTTTGAAACTGATTTACTACTTGAAGATGTTTCCTTCCTATCTATGTCGTAAACCAAGAATATATTAAAAGTGTGGCATGTCATTCAAGTGTAGGTATAGCTGGTGCAAGACATTTATTGTTTCCGGTTATTTAGATTCACGTTTCCCTTTTATCTTTCCACGAAGCCTGGTTTAAAATAACCATGAAACGATTTCATCTTACTGGGAAATACATCATACCTTTCTTTGCAAGTGAGGTTATATAAGTAGGACATTCTTGAAGATATGATATAACTTCAGTGTATTTTATATGTTTCGGAAATAGCGAAACAGGGTTTGCTCGAGCTCTATATTAACACACATTCAAAATAACACATGTACCTTAGAGTATGATGTGCAAAATAAACAGATTCTTTACAGTTTTACAGCAAGATTTGCAATAGCTACTAATCACACGGGGCAGATTCATATTTTCAAAAAACATCAACAAACACATTGAACTTAATCAACTCAACTGGTTTGAGATCAAAAGAGAAAATACACCGCTCGGAGTCCACCGACTGGTAACCCCTGTCGCATACCATTTAACGTTTTGGTTTCTAAATTCAGATTGATTTTGACAAAGTGTTGTGGGAGAAAATCAGGCCTTATCCGAGAGCTTGATAACTTCATCAATAAGAATCAAAGGCCATTCGGCCAATTGGTGTTTGTCTCGGCTAAATTTAGTTAATATGCAGGAACCATTTCTGAGCGCAGGTCAACAAATATACCAGCCAAGATAAAGGAGGCCACAGAGCAGGCGAAAATTGGTTATGAAGCTGGTTTCCGGAAAACTTCATCAAACATATTAACCAAATTCTAGTCGGGTTGTATGCAACGAGAGGCTTTCGAAATTGATAAATTATAACTGGGTCTTAGGTCAGATATTGATGACTTCTTAAGGTTGGGCATGCACTAGAAAGGATGTCTTGTTTGTGTTACAAATGTCTACCAAGGTCAAAAGTCACATTATTGATGATTGCTGCGCTTATGATTAGTGTCAGACATGGATTTTTCCCTGAGCTAATTTTGACTTTACAGGCCCAAGAAACAAATCGATTTGGCTCGGACATATTTGTCAATCTTCACTTGAAATTGGCTGTTCTCCAGGTTATGTATATTGTGATACCGTAAAAGACCTAAATGAAAACAGTTAATCCGCATAACAAACTATCCATTAATATAACAGTATAAGCTGACGATTGTTTCAAACGTCTTTTCCAAATGACATTGTCTTTATCACTAAACACATGAGCTGAAAGTCAATGGTATGTGCCATCACTATGTCACGTAAAACATTCTCATCTTCATACATTTATGCTAGGCAATATCTGTGGTAGGTGATAAAACACTTTTGTTGATGCAGGACAGCCTGCTGAAAGCAATCTGCAAAAGGTAAATAATATAATGTTGATATGAGTTGGGATGTTTCAGGGCAAACAAACATCGGTATGCTTGGAGAGACTGACCTTAGTGTAAATTCATACTTCGACTTGTAGTGCAATGATGAAGTACAACATATTCCAAATTACATTTCCTGCATTTCTTACTCAGAGTGCATATGGAGGTCCGTGCTGGATATGCAGACCACAGTTACCATAACGCCATGTGCATTTAGACGTGAGCATGCTGACTGTACACTGTCGCACATCACAGGATGGTAGTGCCTGTTTGACCTAGGATTTCTTAGTTCTAATGAGTCCATTAGTTATACAATAGCACATCTACGATCGCTTTGTTGAATAGGGCAATTACCTTTAATATATAATGCTTCAATGCTTCAATGCGACACATGTAAACATACTCATACAATAGTACAGTAATATCGACCATAATATAACAAGAAACGTCAAGATTGTTGTACTGAGTTTGGTAATGTGATCTATGGATTCTATAATTATTAACAAAAAAATCTTCCTTAAAGGCATAAACATTAGTGGAAAGAATTATTCGTTTTTCAGCATGAAAGATTCTAAGCTATTGAATGATGAATAGCCGCCATTAAATATCCTTTAATGTAATGAAATAAATAATGATAAATCATATCACAATGTGTTGTATAAGGACTTTTACACGATAGCGTCGACATTGTCATATTAAACTGAATATAGTTAATTAACGAAACAAAGATATAGTATATCTCGTATATGTGACACAACACAGTATATTAAACCAACTGACAAATTAACGTTCACTGCATAAGACAAATTCAGAAAACACTTCTTTTGAAGGGGTCGCATCGCTAGACGATCGTAACTCCCATATTTTAACGTAGACTTTCGACAGTCGTAGCGATACGATCGTTTTGTGAAACGGGGCACTGTACCATAGGAATAAGGAATAACTGATCAACGAATTTTGGTTGTTAAAGTGTTCCTTCTCTATCTTTCTAGCAGCACATTGTATCATTTATTCCGAAATTGGTCGAGTCCTCTACAGCGAGAATCACGCGGCTCTTCTGCGCCTTACGCTGAGGATGGAGCTGAAAGTGTGTCAACTTGTTTTATCCTAAGATTCCGAGGGAGCTCATTGAATAGATTCATGTTGTCACCCTTTAAGCAAACTTGCAATGTGAATACCAGTGAGTTTTCTAAACGCTGAGATTCCATGAGAGTTAAAATGGCTAGCATAGCTTCATGTTGTCATCTGTTTTACATACTTATTTTTTATTTTCATAAGTTGCTGACGTAGACGTACTGGTACAGATGCTATTATAGAGTGATTTCTCTCATATTTCATATGATAGTTTGTAAATTAACAGAAGCAGTACACTGTAACTCCTTGAGTGAGTTTCTACAATCTTCAACGCCAATATTTTGTTATTATATTACATGTACATAACTTCAAGGAAAAAAAGGAAAAGAGGTGGGTTTTTCGGATTGTCGTATTTGCTGTGCTGAATAAAAAGGTATTTCATGGAAAGACATCGCGGAACAAAGAAACTGACGCCATAGCTGTAAGGTATTACGTTATCAAAGGATGCTCGACCTCGTTCATAAGTTACAGCATGTTGTTTCAGAATATGTATGCATAGAGCTATGTTAACATGTATTCCGTATTCCATTGATAATTCCAGATATTGGAAATATGGATTTATGAATATTTCCATTTCAGTATCAAACTGCTGCCATCCATTCTCATATTGTATTGGCAAATCATGTTGATATTTATGTTAGATAGACATTTTGTAAACAATAATTCAGTTGACACGTTGAGATTATGAATCAAAGACTTAATATATATGGAGAATTGTAGCACCACTTTATTCATTTTGTTGTTGTCAATTTAACTAAGAGAATGCTTTCAAATACCAAATAATTGCGTTTTATCCCAGTGGCATTATTTCAGATGATTAAACTTTTCAAAGGAGTTTAAGTTAATGACAACAAATAATTGTAGCATAACAACATGTTTATTGATAACTAATATATATATATATATATATTTATATATATATATGAGTAATAGTAATGGCGAGAGAACCCGCCGGTCGTGTATTTATAGAACAGTGGGAATAACAATGCAAGGTGACAATATAGGATACATGGCTGTAGAGAAGGATGACGTCATCAATGACGTAATCACTCGCTTCCAGCACCAAGTGTTGTACATATGACATGTACATGCGTCACTGTGACTGTACATAGCTCTTTATGACGTATGAATAAATCGATACAGTTGTTACAGCAATGTCTCATTGTACTTTGTCAAAGATTAGAAATAGATATCTTCAGAGTATCGTGATATAAATAAAGGCACAAACCACAAAAAACAGCTTGCTATATTTGGTTTCGCTGCCCTGTACACGTCTTTCCATCTGTTGTGCCAATGAAAACGATTCCCCATTCGAATGTATTGATTATTGACATAACTTGAAACTTATTCCCATGAACACATGAAAATAGATGGTATTAATTATTATATTACATATTGAAATCATGCCCCATTTCATTTGAGCTACGACATACGCACTGAAACAAATATTTAACATGTATGCGACAAGACCTTTTTATAATGCATTTACCATTAAGGGAAACTTTGAAATATTGTCCTTAGTATTATTGTGTTTCTGTGAACAAGTTTTCCCTGACGTGCAAGGTTTGGTCTAATGACATGTTTAAGTGAGTGAGTGAGTATGGTTTTACGCCGCTTTTAGCAATATTCCAGCAATATCACGGCGGGGGACACCAGAAATAGGCTTCACACATTGTACCCATGTCGGGAATCGAACCCGGGTCTTCTGCGTGACGAGCGAACGCTTTAACCACTAGGCTACCCGACCGCCCGGACATGTTTTAAAACAGAAGTATGTCTCAAATGGAAAATGCTGATTTTTCGAAATTTCAGGAAACATGAGCAAGTTTGTGACCCAAGCTGGAGTCGAAAACGTTTTTATATAATTTCTTTTTTTCTACATGTCCGAGAATCTCAACTTGGGTCAAAAACTATGAAAACCGTTATACCTCTACCTTTTTGTCACAGCTAGGTATTGTATCTATATTTAGCGATGTTTTAAGTAAAAAGCAACAACTTGTTCTTATTCATATGAACACATTCAATAATGATGCAATGGTCAAATTATGATTGTTCAGATTATTCAATAACGTTTTACACCTGCAAGGGTTGATAGTATACAATCGGCCCTCTAATACGAAGACAGAAACTGTTGGTGTGAAATCAACTGGTTTACATTTCCATTCAAACCTTCAAAAACACATCCTTTTAACAACCTACAGTGAAGACATTCCTTGTCAGTGAAGAATCCACCTCAATAGTTGAAGGCAAGCTGAAACGTATCTTTGGACAAAGAACACTTGTTGCAATATCAGGTCTTTGTTCCGCTCTAGCCCTTGGCTACAAATGACCATACTAAACAGGTTTATAAGAGTAATGATACATGTTAGAAATTATAATGTGTTATATCTGTAGAACATATGACTCACTAGTTAGTTATTGAGAGTTTCAAATAGTCACATGTTCATAATAACAACAAGACGTCTTACACATTCAAACTGGCAATACAGTGGTTAATGAAGAGTCATTCATTTACTTCAACCTTCCCTCATTTCTCTGACATGCACAGTTATATCAAAATGCACATTATGGTATACATCATATTATTTTACAATGCACATATCTCGAACAGCTCTATCGGACAGCACAAGTAAGTTAATAGAAATCATAGAGACAATATGCATAGACTCTAAATATCCCTGAAGTTGCACAATTACAAAGTCGAGCAATTTACACCACGGACACCTACAACATATAAGTAGATGCCTATGGAATTACCGAACCAATGTTTCAACACGTCGATAAAAGGTCTAATGTGATAACGTACAGGAAGAGCTAACAATTGCTTGTAATTTCCAGCCATGTGATCAGAGGAGTGTAAATGAAAATGTCCCCCATCAATTGATATATGCCTTATCATTGGCATCTACATCCAGAACACGCATATCAAGACACATTTCAGTAGTGGGTGCGTTGTGTTTAACGCCGCTTCTAACAGTATTCCAGTTATATCACCGCGTGACAGCTTAATGTTGGAGGAGATGCAGGTCTGAGACTTTTACCACTTCGGTGAAACCCAGTGAGTGAGTTGGATTTAACGCCGCTTTTAACAGTATTCCACCTAGGCGTGTGAGCTTAATGTGGGGGGAAAGCCTGAAGTGATGCAGGTCTCAGACGTTTGCCACTTCGGTGAAACCCACGGGCACGGGTATGGTGCTGACAAACTTAGGAACATAATCGGGGTGAACAGGGATTCCAACCCACAATCATAGGTTTCTGGCGTGCCCAAGGAACGCAACTCTGCACAGCGAATCGCGGTGCCTTAGACGACTGGGCCACCCGTGCCCCCAATGTTACAGTAATTACGGATTTCAGTTGGTACATATTCTGACAAACGTTCTGCATGAATGAAAATATTGCAGAGAGTGTTTTGTAGAATTGGCATAATTCCGACAAAGAGGGTTTCTAGTATCACAAGCCCAAATTTTTTGAAACTGAAGCTGTATGAGCATTTAACAAGTTACCTTCATTGATCATGTCTGATTTTATTTCTTGGCGCCAATTATGTCAAGTTTCAGATAGGAGATAAACGAAACATCGTTGAATCTACTTCCTCTGGAAACTGAATGTTTAGCGAGATACCCTTTCACTAACAATAGGAAAACAGTATATAGGTTAAGGTAATTCTCATCATATATCATATATATAATGTGGCATTTAACATGTTGAGAACATTAGACACATTGCATTGAATTCAATCGATAAACAATCTCTGCATGAAATGATGGATACCTGAAATTTTGTATTATTAATATTTGTGTTAATTTGGAATCTAGAACGTTGAAAGAAAGTTTACACCCTACCACAATGTGTTTTACTTATAAACATACACGCAGTACATGGTGACGCTTATGTCCTCACCATGTCTTTTACTAGTTATCAGCTGGTATTTCCATTGTTCATTGCTATATGTATACTCGACTTGCACACGTGTTCGTTTCCGTGTTTCCAAACACCATCTTCACTTTGGGATCTAGTGTTAAACTCTCGTGTCCTGGTAGATGCATATTGCTTTACTGTATCCTGCCGATAACCTCGAGATTTCAAAATGACAAATCCCTTATGCAGGATAGGTTATTAACGTCCGTTAAGCACATAGTACAGGCATATTCGGTCCATTACTCCTGGCCTTCGGTTGCATACCATAATATGATAATGTCACAGCTTGCGGAATACTTTGGAACGTTGTCGTTAACAACTCCGGGTGAGCCGAGGGTAGGCAGCGGATGATTTCTGGAACTACGCGAAATCCATTCAGCTCTGTGGAAGTCACCGACATATTTTGCCTTGCATCGTAATTGAGTTGGTCTGTAATTAGGAGAATTATCTGAGAACATCTTGTCACGGTTCTGACTCCACTAAAACAGGTGGCACACTGTTACTGTCTTTATGTTCCTCCGTGAAACCGTCAGTAAGTGCCTGTAGAATGAACGTGATAGCAATTTTGTATATAGTCTCCATGTTTTCTGTATAGCGATCCCCAAGGGTTATCTTCACTGCTTCCAAGAACGGTGACCTCATAGTCTGAAAAAGAATAACACATAGTGTAAAAGCGCGAATGATATTGAAGGATAAGGGCAATCGTTTTGTGTACCTGAAGCGAGCTAGCCAGACAGCAAATTGACATATGATAATATCAAAATAAATGATTATGTCGTTTTTACGAGGCAAGGCAAGTATACACAAGTCAAAACCCAGACACACGGCTGATCAAACGCTCATGATATTGATTTGCAAAAAAACCGTCCGTTGCAAGATCACCGACAACAGAAATCAGTTGTATTATTCAATACAAACATTGGTGTTTGTTAATAATTTAGTAAATGTGTTTTGCCGTGATGAACCTGACTTCCGATCCATTGAGTTTCCTCTTACGACCAAATAAATAACTTGGAACCAATTCTGTCTTGGAATTCCCAACAGAAATGCGAAAGACAGAGATTCGCCATATGTGAGACACGTTCCGGAATTACATACCCCGAGGGGATTCCGGGTTAGAATCGGTCCCAACTTTCCAATGCTTGTCGTACGAGGCGACTTAATGGACCTAGTGGTCAGGCTCGGTGGCTTGGTTGATAACGCCCCAACGTAAACCGACGGCACGGGTGCGTGCCCATTATATCAATCACTGGGTTGCTTGATCCAGACCTATTTACAGACCGCCGTCCTATAGCTGGAACATTGTAGTGCGGCATTCGACAACAAATTATTCCACAAACACACACTATTTTCAGGTGACATAAACATTGCAGTTGTACTGTAAGTATCCCTGGGAATGAATACACATTTATGTATTATAATAACCAAAATGAGTTCAATTACAACATCCATTGGAAAAAAGAAATGTACTGCGATCACAAAAAACAAGTGTATTGAGTGAAGCCAGAGTTCGTTTGTTCAACCTAGACAATCACGTTTTGAACTATAGACGAGGCGGCCCCTGTTAGACCTTACAAAAAAATGCATGACGCAACTCTCCTGAAGAAAGAGCTTAAGAAGAAGCAGACAATTACAGGCGCAACGCAAATGACGGACACATATGGTGCAGGGATGTAAAGTATCACCACGCTATTTTTTTCAATGTAATACGTGTATCATGGCCTCCAACGCAATTGTCCTCATGACGTATCAGATCAATTCATCGCAGGTGATAAATTAGAGGGCACATCTTCAGAGTGAACTCTATTGTTGTCATATAAGATGCTGAAAACGTATATCACTTCTAAGATATGTATCATATCAATAGAGTTTCAGAAAACGCTATATATTATAATCCCTGCACAGCAGGAGCATATGGTATTATGATGAAGCATGTGTAGCGGCTATGCAATCGATCGTGGGCAGTTCGGAGGAGAAGCTTCATGACACATGCCTGTAGAGTCGAATGATGTGGCGGTATGGCTTTGAATCAATATGGGAATGCATCGTTGTAAAGAATGAATGCTTACAATCCCAATATTAATATAACCACATCAAAGACAAATACTTTTGAATTTCTATGGAAAGAGGAAAATTAATAGCTCAAAGAGAGACTCCCACCAGATTGTCATCAATGCCACACTATTACGTCAATACCTATTACCATAATGTGCGGTGGGCCATCGTCCCGTGGAGCAGAATAAGAGGTGTTTCTTATTGTAAAGAGAAAAAAAACTTCAGGCGGTCTTAAGCGAAGATCAGCTGATTGGAATACATTTGATTCTAGTATTTGAAGAGTCATATTCGAAATTATTCGTCATCAACAATAGAGAAAAACGCAAGGTACGCAATAAACCTGGATTGTGCATCCATTGAAAATGATAATACAGCGACAAAAAACGGAATGCTTTTCTAAAATATTAGCAGCATCTGATCAAAGATCAAAGCAACATTTCGACAAAATACATTGTCATTGTATAGATACACGACCGTGCAGGACCCACATGAGAGGACACAATTATTATTATCGGGGATTAAGAGCTGGCATTTGAAACAGATGGCGCAAATGGCTACGGGAGACATGTTTGGTGCTAGCTGGTGTCATCACAGAAATGCATGTGAGACGCTGATGATCGCTATTTTGCTATGCAGTTTTGTCCGTGGAAGTAATTATACCCCACGCAGGCGTGGGAGTTACAGGAAAACCGACGACAACAGCACTAGTGTGAAAGCTTCACTGTTGTCATTGGGTTCCTAATGCTGCAGGGGCTGTGGGGTAGTCTCATGGGTTCGATTCCGTGTTGGGGTGACACCAGGATAGTGCCAAAAACAGCGAAAACCAATAAAGCTGCACCGACACTATTACACCAGTTTCTTATTTGATTCAGTAAGAAAAGCTCGACCTGGACAAGGTAAGCAAAACACTAATGTCCAGATGTTATCTGTCTGTCTGTCTGTACTCCAGATCACTCGAGGTAATTCAATATACTCTAGAACACACATGCTGATTCAATATAGCTGTCGCAGGACTTCGACTACGCCACTGTACTGATTGAGGTCGACACTGTATGTTTTTTCATTAGTTCTTTTCGTGTGAATGACAACCACTCGTCTCAGCCGCCTTATTATTTGCCTTATTAGTCTGCATTTAGAAACGACAACGAATACGCCAAATACATACCTATGCTTGAGGTTAGCTATTGATATGAAGAATATGAAGAATCAGACCAACATCGATAAAGTATCCCACCATAGCATTGCGCAACTGTAGGTACATAGACTTAGATACAACACGGATAAAAGGAATGTAGGTCAATCAGACGAGTAACCTGGGGAGTGTAGATTATGTGAGGATTATTTAGGGTCCCGATATCCATTATATCACGGTTTATGAATGCCTAAGTGAGTTGGGTTTAACGTTGCTTTGAACAGTATTCGAGTTTTATCACGGCGTGTCTGCTTAATGTGGGAGGAGAGCCAGAAGTGATGCAGGTCTCAGACGTTTACCACTTCGGTGAAACCCCCGTGCAAGGTTTTGGTGCTGACAAACCTAGCAACATAATCGGGACGAACCCGAAGTTCATAACCAAACAACAATCAAAGGTTTCTGGCGTGTCCAAGGGCACAACTGCTGGGAGACAGAGGTATAAATATATATATATATATATATATATATATATGTGTGTGTGTGTGTGTGTGTGTGTGTGTGTGTGTGTGTGTGTGTGTGTGTGTGTGTGTGTGTGTATATATGATTGAAAAGGATGAAATATACATGTACACATACTTTGGTTGTGTACAAGCATCAATGTAAAAGTCGGTGTTCTCATAAATAAGAGTTTTTGTCTTTGCAAAACAAAACGCATTGCACATCAACCCAACACTGCAAACATGAATCACGGACACTGATTATGACACCAGGTGTTTGAAAACTGGAGCATCGTTCTTCACACATCATCCCGAAAACATCGAAATAACAGTGGTCATGTTTTCAGGTCAGATGAAAGCAAACACAACGTAACTTTGATCCGTTATTCTGATTGCCTTCACAGCTTGCTGGAGCTATCGCGGACCAAGACAAGACGGGTCGTCATCTTCGGGGAGACCAATTACCGGATGGTGTGGATCAGGTGCAGGAAGACATGCTAGTTATAATCATGTTGCATTAGTAATGAGATGTCATAAGGGTGTCAGCTGATCCTGTTCCACATTGTCACTTGATTGGTACCATTTGTGATTACTCGCATTGACATCTGCATGCTCTGTGGACGTGATACATAAAAGTATCGCTATATTCGCGGTATTCTAAATATAGTATGACCGAATGTATGTATACAATATCTTGTTTCTTTATACTTTACCTTTGAAGAATTCTTTAAATTGGGATTTCCTGGAGTCATTTAAAGTAGTATTGTGCTTTGATGTCAAACATTCGAAATAATTTATATTTCTTTATAACGGCCAACATGCAAACACAATCAGATTATTGAAAGGTTTCGCGTGGGTGACTCAGCTCTTAATGCATTTGGCTTCATTGTAACACTGGATAAATACACCTTGTTTATATTTCAGTAATCGTGTTTGATTTGTAGTTCATCCTAATATATCATCTCATCCCGGCCCTACACTATCAATAATCAAACTGCGCTGTACATATGTACAGCTCATTGATCTGCAAGATCTAACGTCGGCAGTTCCACACAACCAGTATGAAGGACCTAGAGTGGCCATTACAAGGCGAACGAGTGGTCACAGCATTCCGTCCTCTCATTACTAAAACCACGACTCATGCTTGACCCCCGCTCCTGGGACATGACAACCAAAATGACCACTGATCAATGCAAGGGAAACCTATCCCCAATTAACGCGGGATAGCTATTTCCAGGCCCGAAATAATGGCATTTTCGGACAGGCCAGATCGTCTTTCAGGGCGAGAACAGATACTACGATCCCTAATGCAGTTATTTCACGATCGGCTCCCTCTTTATTACCATGGCGAAACACGAATATCAATACCTCGAGTGGTAGTTGCTGTTTTAATCAGCTCGTCATATACTTCACTGTCGGGAAGAGGATTTCGAAAGAAGGCCAAAGGCTACTTGAAAACACTACCGGAGGAAATTGGTACCTTTAACACGTAAATGTCCTTTATCTTTGACAATGGCGCTTATATAAATCATTAATAAGACGTTAGAAATCAATACAAGTAAGACAGGCCATGGGGTATATTCTGCTAACATTATACATAGTTAGGGACCTACTATTTGATTATATGGGGTGGGTAGGGGTTAGTGGTGCTGAGATTTATTTCGAAAATATTCTTTGTTACAGAAAATGCTGTGAAGACAATTTATCATGTTTTGCAAAGAAAATAATTATTCATAAGCTTACCTGAAAATAAATTGGATATTGGTTTGGTATAGCTCAAAAGATAAATATTTTTATATTTGCAGTCAGTGTGTGCATTTGGCATTAGGACCCATGGATATTATTACATCCTGTTTAGGCTACGCCTGTTGTTCTGGATGCGTACAATGCACATCAGGTCTGTTCCCGACAGTGATATCTTCAGGGAAATTACTAACGTGTGAGGGTGGTATTTGTAGAGA